GGAGCTCTGCTAAATGAAAGTTGTCTTAAACAAACTCTTGTTTTATCAACCAGCAGCTAAAGCTAGTATGTCATCTGATCGTATGCATAAATGGAAATGATTGCTATTTATTCATCTCGCCTATGACATGCTGCACGTTTGTAGGTCTAATTACTTCGTAGGCCTTCAACTTTGATGGACTAACTCACTCATGTGTTAATTAACATGTATTATTATTTTCATAACACGGCAAACTCCGAATTAGAGGATTTCTTCTCGGTTTTCTTAGATCATAAGTTCGATGTGAATTTACATAAAGTGGATCGTTAATTGATAAGAAAACCAACGGAGGCTAACGGCCATAGTTTAATGTTCAGCCTCCAAAACAACCCTCCCCTGCAAAGCGTCATGCAAACCATAATTTTTGTGTCCAAATGTTTGAATTCCAACATTTTAAGGAGGAGCGGTGGGCTCAAAAGCTCTTAGTGCGAGACGTTCTTGAGTCATTGTGATGTGCGCTGTGAGCGAGACATTCTACCCTCTTAATAGCTCCCCACGCTCATGGAAAAATTGATTATTTATCCTGGCATATTCCCTAGTCCTTGCTGCGATATGTTTAGCCAATCGAAGCTTGACGCGTTTCGACCTATCGCATTTGAGCGGTGTAGAGAGAAATGTACTTGTATATTCCAGAATAATTCTTTTCTTTTTTTACTTCTTCCGTCTTAATCGTACGCTTCGTTATCCATATTTATTTACAAATGGGTATGACGTAACCTAAACCGTTGTAAACTGTTAGGCATATCTACATAATTGACTTCTTCTCTTGCTTGTTGAAATTCCTCTGCAATGCTAAGTCTTCGCTGTAGTGATATCTGAAAACCAGACTCTGCCGGAAATATTCCGCATTTCTATCGCTAAGCTTTTTCATTTAAATTTTATACTCTGTGTAAAAGTTCTTTAATCGTTGTTGAATGATGTGTGCCGAATAGTTTATAATCTCTTGGTTTATGACAATTCCGCCTAACATCGCTCCAATTTAATTCCAAATTAATCGATGTGTTTTCGATTCAAAACGATACTCCTTAT